TGGATAAACACAAATCCAAGTCATGGGGTGTTATGCCACGTTCATCAACAAGAATGAACGTTACGGCCAAATCTGCATTGTTACACTATCCCAAAGTTCCACAAGTCTACATTAGATCGGCACACAGGCCATAAAACCAACGGGGAAAGCTATGCTAACGAGTACTAAACAGTGCACTCGCCTAGACATCACCTGAAAGAACACAAATAAACATGGGACGACGCTCGGTCAGCGAATAATGCTGGTAACCCACCAATACATGTGAAATAGCATACATAGGTAAGGTATAAGTTGTAAAACCATTTTCGAAACGGAATACATATATATAAGTGTAAAACCAAGAGTAAAAGCCAACATAAGACTCAACACTCTCCACAAACAACACACGGGAACACATCTCAAGACCACAAGAACAACACGACTCACAAAAGAGTCAAGGCATGATCTATCATCACTCAATAGATCAAAACCCGACAAGCACAACGCAAAAAGGATAAGACTCACAACCGGCAACACATGCCAAGGAAACACACGCCTTTGTGACTACACACGTCACAAGAGAAGAACTCACCACAATGGCTACAATAGCCCTCGTGACATCACCCATCACGAGTTGGTATGCCTGCCTTATGCCCGGTTCCAACCTTATGGCTACCCCCAACCTTGTATCTTGTTTCCAACCATTACCTCCAGGACTCCTGTACTTCTTAGTCCAACCTTTTCCCTCCTAGGACTGTCGTCCCCCACGAATGACCACCAACGAGACCACCAATTTCATAGTACACGAGGGTACCGTACACACACACGGCAACACATGCTACCCTAGAATCACGTGAACCTTACACAAAGGTCACAACTCCATAATCACGTCACGGCCACCACGAGGACCGCTGCAATACCTTGGTGACTAGTGTCCCATACCATTAATCGTGCAATCCAGGTAAAGCCACACACGCATTACACCTCAACAGGAATCAATCAACAGATTACAACGAAGGTATGAAACATACTCAATCAAGGAATGGGTCACAGCCCAACAACAACAACGATGAATAACACAAGTTATCATCAACCCATCGGAAGGTACAAACAACACACGCGCTAGCATTTGGACACCGAACTAGCATGCTTATCAAACGGATAAACCAAAGGTAGTTCCGAGGAACACACAAGACACATCACGGTTCAACGAAACACAATGTTGAACACTTAGCACGATTCAAGACACCAAAGTCCTACATGGATACCTACCATATAGTTCTAGACATACGAAACATCTAGAAGACACTCAAATAGTTCCACAAAAGAACATCGGGAAGTCCAAAGACCAAATACCGAGTCAAAAGAATCACGGGGAACAAATCCCCCAAACCACTGCACTTGTGTACCCGCGGGTGGACCCACGGGTAGTGCCCCACCTGTGGTTCTGCCCGTGGGAACACATTCCCACAAGGCCCGTACCCGTGGGTGGGGCGACGGGTGGTGCCACGCCCACGGGTACATGTCCTTTACCACAAAATACCACTTCGCGGATTTTTCATCTCCAACTCAAATTCAAGTCCAAAACATGCCAAATCTCACCAAACACAACAAAATGACTTGAATCAAAGGAAAATGCCAAGCAGTGTCACACAAGAACCCTAAACACAAGCTCTAGATATGCATTTTCACAAGAACATGCATAAACACTCACATTTCATAGCAAAACACAAGTAGAATCCAAGAAATCACATATAGGTAAGAAAAATAGATTTTGTAGAGCATGTGTTACCTCCTGTAGACTAAAAGACTTCACTTTACACCTTAACAAGCTCTTCTCAAGGCTCACCTTCCAAACCCACTTCAAGAACAAACCAAAAGATCATAAAGATCCTACCTTTAAGAAAAGACACCTAAGATGAAACAAAAAACACAAGATGGACTTAGATCTTACCCTCCTAGATGCCCAAATAGGTGAAAGGTTGAATCTTGAAAGCAACTCTTGAAGTCTTGGCAAGGTCTCAACTTGGCTTGGAAGAAAAACTATTGACCTTTTTAGAGAGAAGATAGAGCTAGATTTTTAGAAAGTGTAAGGGATAGAATGAAGATGTCTACTAGGTTAGGTTACAATACTAACACCATGTGTAAGGTCAAGAATGCCCTTACTAACATTAGGAAATGTAAGGAACAAGGGAACTCCCTTCAAAGCTCAAGATACAACTTGACTTTGGAGTTGACTAGTCAAATACTAGTCCTCAAGTATTGAATTTCTGGATTTTAGGATTTAATTCCTCAATTGAAATAGGATTAATTACTCAATTAACCCATTAGTTGAATTTCGATTTTGGGGAGTCACACCAGGTCGGGATGACTGTGGTTTCTGGCAGGTAATTGAATATGAACGTATGCCACCATACTGTCTAACTTGCAGAAAGCAAGGACACTTGAAATCTGCATGTCAGATGGGTCGTGGTATGCATGGCCCTCGGCCGTCGGTAAGCAATGCTAATGGCCCGGGACAATCAGGTGTCGAGCTTCCAAAGACAATCCCTGTACACTAGGTCGCCCCGGTGTGCGATGCCAATGCCTCGGTGCAATCTGGGGCCGAACCCTCAAAGACAATTCCTAGATCCCAGATCACTCTGGGGGTTGTGGGTCTAGATTGGTCCCATAAGTGGGAGGTGTATCATAACCCTCTTGGCATGGCTACTGAGAACCCTACGGGGCCGGTTGACAAGGTGCAAGGACTCGGGGCCGTAGGCCTTGAGGGTATGACCTACAAGCAGAGGAAGAACTATAGATATAGGATGAGGCAACTGAAAGGTAAGGCCCCGGTAACTATGGGCCAGGACTCGGTCCCCACACCCGTGTGGAAGGGCCGGGATACTGGTCGCAACGAAATGTTCTTTTCGGTGCCCTCTGGGAATCGGTTTGCGGCGCTAAGTGACGATGGGGGTAGCCTACGGGGCCCAGTTACGGCCATGGTCCCACTAGTTAAGGGGGGGGGGGGGGGGCTAACAAGCCATCCACGTCAGAGAAGGTCGAGGATCGCCAGCTGGCAACCTCTGCCCTTTTAGATAGCGACGTTCCACAACGAGAGACACAAGCGGATTCATGGACCTCCGGGTTTGAGACTGACCCCGGTGCTGGTACAGACCGGAATTGCACAGAGAAAGGGTCTAGCCCCTCGGTTCTCGCGTCTATTATTTCAAAATGAAGGTCCTTGTGTGGAATGTGAGAGGGGTGTCATCTCAGGGTTCTGCTCGCAGGACACGTGTTCTGCTTAGATCTCATTCGCCTTTTATCCTATGTTTGCTTGAGCCATGTAAATATGATAATGCCTATACGGCTGATAGGCTCGAGTCTTTTAGAATAAAAATCAACTTTGATATTGCGTACGGGTCGGGTAACAAAATATAGTTGTTTTGGAATAGTGACCTGACTGTGGGTATAGAGAGCCAAATGGAGCAGTGTGTCTCTATTTCGTGTGCACATTCCACCGTGCTCACGCCCTTTTGGCTATCTCTTGTTTATGCCAAAACCAGGGAGTCTCTTCGGGGCCCATTATGGGAGGAGCTCAAAGCTGTAAGCCCTATGATTCCGGGGGAGGGGGGGGGGTTCCTTGGTCAGTAGTGGGTGATTTCAATTGCTTAATGAGAGTGGACAAAAAGAAGGGTGGACTGCCTTACTCACATAGGAAGACGGTAGACTTCTGTGAGTGTGCTAGTGCGTGTGGCTTGATTGATGCAACCTACTATGGTTCCCGTTTCACTTGGTGGAATGGGAGGCGTGGGGAGGCGGCCATATGGATGCGATTGGATCGCTGTCTCTACACCTCGGAGTGGGAGTCGGTATTCAAAACATCGGTACGACATCTATCAAAAGCCACATCAGACCACAGTCCACTCTTAATAACTTGTGATTTGCTGACCATGCAAGTGGTGCCAAAACATTTTGTTTTCTTGAACGTCTGGGTTAAGCATGAGGTTTTTCAGACGGTCGTGCGAGATAGCTGGCAAGCTCCAGTGGATAGGGCCCCGATGTTTGTTCTGGCCGCTAAGCTAAAGAGGCTGGCCAAAGTCCTAAGCAAATGGAGTAGAACGGTGTTTCGGGACATATTTGCTAAACTGCGTGAGTATAAGGACACTGTCTAGAATCTAGAGGTGGTGCTATAGCAACACCCTGAGGATGAGCAGGCATTAATTGAATATCAAAAGGGGGTAGCTCTGCTGAAAAAGCAAATAGCGATTGAAGAAGAATATTGGCAGCAGAAGGCACGCATAACAGAGGTACAAGAGGGTGATAGAAACTCTCGGTACTTTCATGCAATTTTCAGAGAGCGTAGGCGCAAGTTGTATATTCATCGAGTTAAGAATGATGATGGGGTCTGGTTGGAGGATAGACAGGGAATAGCCCAGCAGGCGGTGACCTTTTTTGAGCGAATGTTTACGGTGGAAGTTGGTGGGTTTGATCTTGCTAGACTAGATTGTATCCCACGTTTGGTCATGGACAATGATAATGACGCGCTAATAGCTGTCCCGGGGGTGGAAGAAGTCAAGGAAGTGGTAATGCAGATGAGTTCTACGAGTGCAGCGGGTCCTGATGGTTTCTCGGGAGCTTTTTATAAAGCTTGTTGGGACATCATTCAGGATGATGTGGTCGCTTTGGTCCGGAGTTATTTCGCTGGGAGGGATTTAACTAGGGCTATCACACACACATCCATTGTCTTGTTGCCGAAAAAACCGAGTCCTGGGACCTTCGCTGATTACAGGCCAATCAGCCTTTGTAATTTCAGTAGCAAGGTGGTTACGAAGCTCATGGTCGTCCGGATGGCCACGATACTACCTCGTGTGCTATCGTCGCAGCAGAGCGGTTTTGTGGCCGGGCGTTCTATCACAGATAATGTGCTTTTGACCTCAGAAATGTGCCATGGGCTTAACTGACAAAACCATGATATAGTGCTCAAGCTCGACATGCCTAAGGCATATGATCGGGTCTCCTGGTTCTTTCTGACGTCGGTAATGCGACGGTTGGGGTTCAGTGAGGTTTGGATTGATATGGTGTTTCGGGGTGTGTCGAATGTTTGGTACTCAGTAATAGTGAATGGCATAAAGGAGGGGTTTTTTACTTCGTCTAGGGGGCTTAGGCAGGGGGATCCGCTATCCCCGACTCTTTTTGTTATTGCGGCGGAGGTTCTCTCCGTCTATCTTGCCCGAGGCTATGATGATTACACAGTGCCCCGGTTCACCCAGCCGTCGGGGACACCACATATTCATCATCTGGCATATGCAAACGATGTCATTATTTTTTGCACAGCTAGACTTGGGGAAATTACAAAGGTCATCTCAGCTCTTAAAGACTATGAGGAGATATCGGGGCAGTTGGTGAGTTTTCAGAATAGTGCGTTTTATATGGATCCTCGCACGCCGGTCCGAGTAATTGATGAAGTTCGCAGGGGGACCGGGTGTGCGCATAATGACTTCCCCTTTACATACCTTGGGTGTCCGGTATACATAGGTCGTAAGAAACGCATTTACTTTGCCTCTGTGATTGACAAAGTTAAGGCTAAATGCTTGAGTTGGCAACAGCGAGTACTATCAAAAGGGGGGAAGGCAGTCTTGATATCATCAGTACTGCAATCTATTCCACTGCATTTGTTTGCAGCCTGCGCGCCGCCCAAGCAAGTCGTTATGGACTTGGAACGGTGCTTTGCAAGCTTCTTCTGGAAGCAATCTGGGGGGGCCCAGTACCATTGGAGCTCGTGGAAAACTCTCTCCTTGCCTAAGAAGGAGGGGGGGTGTGGGTTTCCTGGACTTGGACCTGATGGTTCGGGCGGCAAGTGCAAAGTTGTGGTGGAACTTTCGCACGGAACACACGTTGTGGTCAGACTTTATGCGAGCCAAGTATTGTAGACGGGTTCATCCAGTTGCTAAGGTGGCCCGGTATTCAGATTCGCACACTTGGAGGCGAATGCTTGCAGTTCGCGATGAGGTAGAGCAGGTCCAAACTTGGCGGTTGTTCCAGGGTCGGGTTAATTTCTGGTGGGACAACTGGTTAGGTTTGGGGCCATTAGGCAAGCTGTTTCCATTCCCAAGGGTTTTTTACTCCCGGGAGATGTTCCTGGACTACATGCACGAGGGTGCACTGGATCTCACTGGTCATGAGGAGTTGTTATATGCTGGGGTCCTTGTGGACTTGTCCCGGATGGGCCAGGGCCCGCGGGATATCCCGCTTTGGACTGCAGCCTTGGACGGTATGTTTTCCTTTTCTTCCGCCAAGGCCTACCTTAGGCCTATTTTGCCCATTGTGCTGGATCCCCTTCTGGCTAAGTGTTGGCGTAAGCATCTCCCTTTTAAGGTGTCTTTCCTAGCTTGGAGAGTGCTTCGAGGGCGGGTACCCACGGATGATGCCTTGTCTCGGTTCGGGCACGTGCTCGTTTCAAAATGTAGGTGTTGTTCATCCCCAGCTTCTGAGACTATTACACATGTTTTTTTATGACGGGGAATCAGCGAAAGCTGTTTGGAGCTATATTTTGGCGTCCCTGGGTCTGCAGTCGCGTCACCGGAGTCTTAGGACATTGGTTGCGGGCTGGGGCCGTGGGGGGACGTGTAATCCTTTATTCTCTTTTGCTGTTAACAGGTTGCCTTGCTTGGTGATGTGGGAGCTATGGAAACACCGTAATTGGTGCATGCACGGGAGGGGCACCCCGAGTGTTGCGCGGGTGATACTCGGGGTAGCTAGAGGGGTTGCGGAATGCTTGTTTAGGCGTTGGCCTATGCAGCATATCCTGCCCCCAAACTGGAGGACGGTTGTTGCATATTTGGAGGCACATGTGCCGAGACGCGTGATCAGGACGGTCAGATGGTCCCCACCTGCAGTAGGGGCTCTTAAGATCAATGTATCTCTATCGGATGCTGTAAGGGGAGCCGCAGCTTTGGTGCGCAACCCTATGGGTGGGCTTGGCGTGGTCTGGCTAAGGGGAGCATACCCAAGGGCTGTTTCGGGTGTTGTTCTCCTGTCTGGAGTGGTGCCTCGCCGGAGGATACAGGGAGATTGTAACATCCCATGTTACGGCCCCTAAACCAAATTAATTAATTTATCACCCACCCTAAAAAGGGAATTAAAATCCATTAAATTGCTAAAAAAGGGTCCACCATGGTCCGTGGGCCTTAGGACAATTCGGTAACTCGTTGAATCGGTAACTCGTTGACCTAGGTGGAACTCGTATGAACCCCTTAGGACAATTCTTAGTATGTGAATGATCACACGTAAGCTTAATTATGTGTCTCCCCTTCCCAATGCGCTATTGTGTGTTATTATGTGTAATTGTGTGTTATGTGATGCATGATTTCCCAATTTGGTTGCGATCAAGTTGGCTATACGGGCAGTTGAATGAGCTGAGAACCATCCCAACTGTTAACCAGGCCGGTTGAGATCGGTCAGGTATATAAATATTATATAGGGCTGCGGTCCACTATACGGGCAGTTGAATGGGTTGAGAACCATCCTAACTGTTAACTTGGCCGGTTGCGATTGGTCAGGTACATAAAGATTATATATGGCTACGGTCCACATGGGCCTGGGTGCTATGACCCACCGACCTGGACGCGCCAGGCGGTGTGTAAGGCCAATAAGCCGAGGAAGGCTGTAGTCCACCGACCTGAGTAATCAGGCGGTGTGTAGGGCTACGGCTGGCTGCGATCCACCGAGTGATGGGATAGCGGTGTGTAGGGCCGTAGTCTCCGAGGATCTTCGCCCACCGATCTTCCCCAAAATTTGAAATCGCCGAAGACTACAAGTCTACGAAGACTACAATAAACCAGACGCGGCGACTCCGGCGAGGGTGGGAGAGGCGAGGCGGCGAGGCTTATAGCGGAGGAACGGCGCGGAGAGGCTTTGAGCGGAGAGGGGGCGCGGCGAGCGGAGAGGATGACTCGCGACTGCAAGTTGGAACCTTCAGGCTACCGGCGACCGGCGAGGTTAGTGAAGTTTCTTAATATACTGTTTTTTTTTTATTTATTTATTTTTTTTGCTTTTTGCTGTTTAAATATGAAGCCAAGAAATCAGGAAAAGTACCGAACAATTTTTTTTTTTTTTTGCTTTTTACTGTTTAATATACATACTGCCTGAGTGCATCTTATAATATGCATACTGCCTGAGCCTGAGTGTTGTTTATAGTTCTATAATAATTAATTTTTCATCTGGATCCAGGTTGTTAAGTATATACGTGCAATAAGAATGGGGCTAATAAAATTTGATGAGAAGCCAAAAGAAAACCAAAATTCGATCTTTTGTGGGGAGATGATTCGACAGCTATGGAAAGACAAGGGTTATCTTATATTCCTGCTCCAAAGCCTAAGCTACCAGGTTTACAACTCTCCCTAAATATCCTTGGCATTTCACCTTTTCAAAGGGAGTAAGGGAGAGCATTTTGTGTCTTACCTAAGTGTTTTTTCAGGTCATGAGGAATCATATATGATATAACCCCTCTTTGGAATACATCCCAACAGAAGACGAGATCAAATCTTATGAGCTTATGTTTGAGGAAGATCGGCCAAAGTTTATTCCAAAATAGTACATTACTGCCTTTTTAATTGGTCAAGAATAACTTTTTTTCACTTTGCTACTTTCAGTTTGAATATTTTAATCCAAATGTGTTTTTGTTATGTTTAGGTTTGAATCCTTGAGAAGCGTTCCAGCATATGCCACAGAGCTCATAAAAAGCGTGTATGTAAAGAAAACTGGTACCAAATGTGTATTATGGACTTGTAGACTTGAAGTTATCAATCTTGTATGAATTTTGTATTATGAACTCTTACTTATTAAACTTGTTGTTGGACATTTTATTATAAAATATGAACTTGGTTTTGTCATTTATGATTATTAGTTGATTGTAATTTAATAATATTATTATTATTTATAGGTGTATATTAAAAGTATTTTAAATGTAGGCTTTAAATAGGCTTTGATTCTATTTAAATAGTCTCAAAGCCTATTTAGAACCTACTTTGAAGCCGAGTTCTACTACATACACTCCCAAAATTCTACTCCCTCATTTATACTCCCTGAGGTGGCAAATCGGGATTGTTTATTTTCTATCATGTGGGTCCACAGAAAAATGTCTACATCAAGAGCATGTGAGAGGGAGTACAAGTTGGGAGTTTAAAATAGGAGTACACCAAGTATTTTCCCTTTGAAGCCTTTTTAAAAGCCTATTTAGTAAATAGGCTTTTAAAAAGGCTTTAGGCCAGGCCAGACCTACTGCAGGCTGAGGCTTGAGCCTAGAAAAAAGCCTACCTACAGGCCCAGGCCCAGGCCTAGGCTTTAACTTTTCCTAACAGGCCCAGGCCTAATTTTAAAAGCCTGGCCTGGCCTGGCCCATTTCCACCCCTAGTGATCAAGCTACAGGCGAAGTTGGTGATCAATTCCAAAATGAATTAATTGAGGAAATTCGAACCAACACTGCCAGTACACAACAAATGGATCCACCTAGTACCATGCACCCATTTGAACCAGATTTAAGATGGCTAAAAAATCACCCTCCAGAATTAATTATTGGGAATGTACATGAAGGTGTTAAAACAAGATCATCTACCATGGAAGCATTGTTCACATGTTCTCTATCACAAATTGAACCAAAAGAAGTGGACGAAGCTCTTAATGATCCGAATTGGATAGATGCTATGCAAGAAGAGCTCGATCAATTCAAAAGAAATGATGTTTGGGAACTTGTTCCAAGACCTGCGAATCACAATGTTGTAGGAACCAAATGGGTCTTCCGGAACAAAGCAAACGAAGAAGGCATGATTGTTAGGAATAAAGCAAGGCTCGTTGCAAAAGAATACTCTCAAGAAGAAGGAATAGATTTTGATGAAACTTTTGCACCGGTAGCCCGACTTGAAGCAATCAGAATTTTCCTAGCCTACGTCGCACACAAAGATTTCACCGTTTATCAAATGGACGTGAAAAGCGCTTTCTTGAATGGTCTACTCGAAGAAGAAGTTTATGTCGAACAACCGCCAGGTTTTGAGGTAAAAGGCGAAGGTGATAAAGTCTACAAACTTAAAAAGGCATTGTATGGGTTGAAACAAGCACCTCGAGCTTGGTATGATGCTTTGTCAACGTTCTTGATAAGCTGTGGATTCACCAAAGGCCTTGTTGACAAAACTTTATTTTGAATTCAAGATGGTGATCATATTTTATTAGTGCAAATCTATGTTGATGATATTATTTTTGGAAGCACTAACAATTCTTTGTGTGAGAAATTTTCGAAGCTTATGCAGAATAAATTCGAAATGAGCATGACGGGTGAATTGAATTACTTCTTGGGCTTACAAGTCAAACAACTGAAAGAAGGAATATTCATCAATCAAGCAAAGTACACCCGCGACTGGATAAAGAGGTTTGGCCTTGATAGAAAATCCTCGATCAAAATTCCAATGAGCACATCATTAAGGCTAGACAAAGATGAAGATGGAAAGGATGTCGATCAAACAAAATATAGAGGAATGATTGGTTTTCTTCTATATCTTACTGCAAGCAGGCCGGACATTTCTTATGCTGTGGGAGTGTGTGCAAGATTCTAAGCAAATCCAAAAGAAAGCCACCTCACCGCAACAAAGAAGATCATACGATATCTAAAATGCACAATCAATGTTGGATTGTGGTATCCAAAAGGTACAGATTTTATTCTAACGGGTTTTTCAGATGCGGATTTTGCAGGTTGCAAAATAGACAGAAAAAGCACTTCCAGGACATGCCAGTTCTTGGGGGGAAGGCTTGTTTCTTGGTTCAGCAAAAAACAAAATTCCATCGCAACTAGTACCGCCGAGGCCGAATATATTGCTGCAGGAAGTTGTTGTGCGCAAATTTTGTGGATGAAGTAACAATTGAAGGATTACGGAGTTAATTGTGATGACGTTAGTATTTATTGTGATAATACTAGTGCAATCGCTATCACTCACAATCCGGTGTTTCACTCAAGAACCAAACATATCGACACTCGACATCACTTCATAAGGGATCACGTTGAAAAGAAAAATCTAAAGATCGAATATATCCCTACGGAAAACCAAGTTGCTGATATTCTCACGAAGCCTTTATGCCAAACGAGATTTTCTACCTTAAGGCACGAGTTGGGAATGATCGAAATGAGCTAAGTATCACTGGACTTAATCTCTCAATTTAAATTGATACTTGTGCTCAAAATAAATTGTTTTACGTGAATAAATTGTTTTGTGTGATTATATGCATGTGTTTATTCGAAATTTTTGTATAATAAAATTGCAATATGTGTTAGAAATTCATCTGTGTATTTGCATGTGTTATTTAACGTGAAATCATATGCCATGCAAATTAATTTGATGAAATATGCAATCGTGATTTATTTGACAATTTGTTTAGAATTGCATGATTCAATGTGTTAGTTAATATGCGAATGTTTGTTCATATTTGTATAATTTAAATAAATTGTTTGCATGAACAATTTTCTTTAAAAATCTAATTTAATGTGTTTATTGCATTATATATGTGTTTCGTGCATATGTGATTTATGTGTTATAATTTGATATAAAATGTTTTAGAAATCTGAGCTGAAAGTTAAATTTTTTTGTTAGTTTCTAAAATGTTTAGAATATGATTTGTGTGTTAATTATATGAAGAGGTTTCTAAATATAAATTTG